GCCCCCTGCTTGCTGCAGCAAGTAGGGGTGCTCGGACCCTAATAATCCGAACAGTTCCAATAGGGTCTTCGCACCCTTTTGGGTGCTCGGACCCTAATTAATTACCGACCAGCTGTGTTGACGGTTGGTTTTTCAGATTCAGGTGATTTTAGCTTCAGAACACGTGTTTCCTGTCAGTTCTGAGCATTTAACCAACTAGAACGTCTACAGTTTGCTCTGCTTTGGAGGACAAAGTTGTTCTGAAATGTCACTCTGAACTGTGGGGAACTCTGAAAAGAAAAATCATCTTAAACCACAAAAGAACCTCCTGCTTCACTGACACACACCAGAGTCGGGCTTGTAAACCATATTTCTTTATTAAAGATTAAGAAACTCCAAGCAGCATATTCATAAATAAAGGACGGCTCTCCTGTGGATGCACCGTGACAGACCGAATGCTCGGACAGTTCGTGTTGTCCGGAGACGACGTCCAGAACCCGGCTAACAAACACAGCGTGAGCGTCTCGGACCGCCTTTGGCAGAAAAGAACTGTCTGAACAGGAGGCTGTGCTGCTCCTGTGTTGGTCCTTCACGGTGAGCCGAGCGACGTTCGTCTTTTTGATTCTCTGTAGAGCTCCAAACGTTTCCCCGTGATCCAGTCACATGTCAGAAAAACGCTAAATATCGTCTTTAACAGAAACAACTCAGCGATCTGATGAAGGTTTGGAGCTTCGACACGTCAGAAAAATCACAAAGCATAAAAAATGAATGTGGGAGGGCGGAGCTGCAACGATGAACCGATTCGTCCTCGACCACCGAATCTTCCACAACCAGTAATTATATATTTAAAAATGTGTAAATTCTCATATTTTAGCTTCTTAAATGTGAATATTTTCTGGTTTTCACTGTTTTCTGACATTTTAAAAACCAAACAACTGATCGATGACGTGAGAAGATGATTGAAAACAGAAATGATCGACTTTCTGAGAGCTTGTTCCTTCGGATGCATCTACAAATCCTGTAGCTGACATCCCAAAGACTCTTACGATACGTTAATAAGGATATTTTACGGGATTTTTCTCCGCATTTATGTCTCGGACGCTTTTTAAAAGCCTTCTGAAGTCGAGTTACAACTAAACTTAAAAACTCGACGTAAAGTCTCTGTGCTGTCGGTGTGTCCTGGACGTAAACTGGCCTCGTACGCTTGCTTGTACTTGTTGTAGTGATATTTTTTCCTAAAACGATGGTCACGTGGACAGATTTTCTTTTATAAAACATAGAGGGAAGCCATCAGAGTAGGAAAACGTCCCTATTAGTGTGGATGAGACCTCGATTCGCCCGGTGTGTCCACAGACCCAGCTGATTTCTAGAGCTCGCGCTGCCATTAGGAACAGAACGGGAAAAATCTGGCCTTTAAAATGTTGGATAGTGTGTAGGACGCTCCATGTGACCGAATCACGAGGCAACGGAGTCGAACCAAACCAGACGTTCTGATCTCGAACCCACCACGACTAGTAGCTTTGGTGTTTCGTCTCCAAAGTAAATTTGGGAATCGAAGCCCTTCGTCCCGACGCGTTGCTGTAAGTCCTGCCTGTACATTTCAGTGGAGACCCTTCAGTCTGCCTCTTAGTGTCCTGGAAACTCTACTGCGTGTCATCAGCTCGTTTCCAAACTGCCAGTTTCCCGGCAAATGAAAGTGAAAGTCGTTCGGCCCATAAATGCACATTTAATCGCACTTACGACGGCAGAACGAGGCGGAGTGACGCCTGGTTTCACGTCTCCTCCCATAAGGGCTCGTCACACAGTCTTCTACGGAGCAGAACCGTCCAGCGAACGCCGTCGGACTCCCCGTTTGTTTCTAGCAACGGAGGTACGACACCTGCAGAATAATCGCCGCCGAGCTTCTGATTGCACTTTGGACGAGGACGCCGTCCGTCGTCCCCGCAGGTCGTGACGGATCTCGTTAGGGTGACGGTGGGAACACGAAGCCTCGACCGCTGATTAGAACGACTGCTTTCAGGAGGAGAACCTGTGTACAAGTGTTTCACATTAAAGTCTCTAGTATCAAAAAGTAAAGACGGATCTATAGAGCTGACTCTACAAGACTTCTTCCTTTCTTCAGGTGAACCAGAGCAAACAGGAGGGAGACTCTCGAGGCTGCGTTCACACCAGTTCAGCCTGCTGCAGACGTTACGATGGTCTGATGAACGGTGTTGGTTTCAGTGGAACAATCGAGAAATGTCTTTTGTTGGGGATGTTTCTGAAGCCTAAAGTCAAACTGAACCATCCACTGGAGCAAAACTTTCACAAATCACAGCTTTTTCTGCTGTTTCAGTTTCTAAAAGCTCCTTCAGATGGAAACAGGACCTCGGAAAGTCAAAATCAATCATAGTCCGAAGCAATTTTTTAAATTAGCGAGGCACACTGCAAAATACAGTTTGTGTTTTGAATCGTGTTATTTTATAGATTTTCCCAGTTGTATCAGTTGAAAAATATCGAGTAAAATCACAAAAAATCTATAATCTACATGTTTTCCTTTGTTGGGGGATAATTTAACATTATTATAAAAGAAAAATGAGGTATAATATTACTTGCTGTTTTACAGATTCTCCTTCTTTTAAAAAAAAGAAAAGATACAGATAATATCGAGTAAAATAACAAAAGCAGCCAAAACTGTAAAAAGTCCACGTCAAAAGTCAGCGTTTTTACCGATATGAGTTTGTTCTTATACGATGCGTCACTGTGTAATTAGTGTTACTTTATATTTTTGTTTACTTCATTTAAATCAGCTAAAAATATCGTCACTCTACAGACATTTGCAGTCAACTGAAGAACAATTGTGTAAATTGAGGAGTGGAAAATGGTAAATAACTTTTAAAATAACCGCCTCCTCTGGTCTCTACTAAACAGTGAGAGGCTCCACCTGGTGGAACAACCAGGTACTGCAGCTGGTCCATGAAATGTTTTATGTCACGCAGGACTTTCTTTTTTGCCCTGTCGGTTAATATGTGCTTAATAATTAACCTTTAGCATTCCGAAAACTGACTGGGCTCTAAAATATCTGAAAGAAAAATTAGTTTAAAACAGACATTTATGAATGAAGTAGAGGAATTTGTGAGGCTGGAATTTTTTTTATCTCAGGAGAACGCGAGAAGGAAATGTGGTCTGGGAGCCCCGAATGTTCTGACTAAATGTCACGGTAGTTCCCCCAAAATTACAAATACTTTAGCTTCAGTTAAAGAAGAATTCAATTTCGTTTGGCTGAAAAACACAACACCACGAAGCGGAGGCCATTCTGTCACAATTACAACCCAACCGCCGAAGTCTAGAAGTCAACACTTGAACCCACTAAAGCCCGTCAGAGCGGAAGTGAACGCAGCCCTCGATCCGCTCCTGTTTCCTTCACATCTGACCCTCCTCACCTGGACCTGTACCGGCGCCAAATAAAAAGCTTCTAGAAAAACAAACCAGTCAGCTGTGTGTAAAACACGAACCTGATAAAAATCCACGTGTTCCTCCGGCAAGGTGTCGAACGAACACAATTTACAGTCAACATAAGAAAATGAATGTAGACTTTTGCTTGGAAAAAACAATGTATATTATATATTCAATACAAATGGAGGGGAAAAAGAAGAAGTTGTGATTATTCTGGTCCGATGCTGAAGATATACGGTATATAGGGTTGGTACAGAGGTGCATAACAGTAGGTGTCCAACACTGACACGCCCCTACAGCGGTGCATCATGGGTTTACATCGATGAGTTGTGGAGAGACATCGTTTCATTTCGGCACTTAGAAAACAATCACAATGAATTTCGCGTCATTGTTTTTAATTGAACAAAATTTACAAAGCCATTCAAACAGTCATAACTTTTTCATCAATGTATATATATATATATATATATATATATTTTTTTTTGTCTCGTTTTGTTTGTTTTTATAACTCAACTTCAAAAATTGAGAATATTCAAAATACACTTTGACCTCACTTCGTTCTCTTGGTATTTACACGTATGTACAAGAGAAAAATGACACCCGCGGCCCCGCCCCCTGCCCCGCCCACCGCCCCGCCCCCTGCCCCGCCTGGTGTGTTTGTTTTTTTGTTTTTGTGTGTTTAGTTTTTTGTAACTTTCTGAACAGATAGTGAGATACAAAATCTTTTTACTTTGTACATTTGTTTTTTTCTTTCTATAATAATTTTCCTCTACACCTCCTCGACCCGCCTCACATCCGGACCCGGACCGAGCCTCACCCCTCCCACCGCTATATCGATGTACTGTGGGTGGCCTCAATGGCTTCGGGTATGGGTCCTGCGGAGACTGCCTGGTAGGACATTGGCATGGGCGTCTTGCCAGGGCTCTGCCGGAAGAGCCCCCCGTTGGGGGCCCTGTGTTTGCACTGCATGGTGCCGCTGAGGCTGGTGCTGCTGAGGGGGTGGTGCGGCGGCAACGTGGTGCTGCCAGGGCCCTGGGACGGGGGTAGCGTCCTGCCTAGGGTCCCCCCATGGTGAGGGTGGGGAAGAGGAGGAGGCGGCGCCCCCTCCCCGGGGAGGAAGGTGGTCACAGCGAGGCCCGAGGGCGGGTAGTCCCGGACGGACTCCGGCCCCGCCACCAGAGAGGCCTGGCTGGGCTGCATGCTGCCGATGTCCAGCGCAGAGATCTCGATAGAGGGGCCGGGGATCTGCTTGTGGGCCAAGTCCTCGTCCAAAAGACTGTTCATACGACGATGCACCTGTTCCAGGTTCACCTCCTTGTCCTACAAGAGGAGTGGGGAGGTGGAGGAGGAGAGACAGGGGGAGGGAGGGGAGGAGGAGGGACACAGAGGCTGAGATTGGCGATGGGCCGGATTCTGGTTCAGCTCTGCTGGCGCTCCATGCAACCTGCTTTTCAGTGTGGCCTTAGTTTTGGACTGCCGGACCGGCTGGTGGGCCGGCCCGCAGTGGAGAGCCCAATCAGACCAATCAGTGCGCACCTTGAAATCAAACTTGGCCAGTGAGAATTAACGGTTTGATGTCTGGAGAAACACAATCCTGGAGCCAAACCACCAGGAAACGTTTTCTCAACCGATGATCAGCAGCGTTGTCAATCAGTAATCGATTAACCGATACCACAGGTTGAGTGGACTTCATCCCACAAGCTGTTTCTGACAACAGACGGTTGATCTAACTGTTGAAACAGTTTAATTACGTTACGAACGCTAACCCGATAAACTTCGGCTCGTCTTAAGAACACGTCTTCCGACGAGCAGACATGAACCTCCTCAGAGTCTCTGTCATGGTCCCACTGCTGCTAAACTCCCACAATGCTCTCTGCTGCCACCATGAGCTGTAGTCTGGAGACGCCTCCTCTGGTCTCTACAAGATTAAACAATGAGAGGCTCCACCTGGTGGAACAACCAGGTACTACAGCTGGTCTGCGGTTACGTTTACTGACCTGAACGACCTTCTTCTTTCTCTGCCTTATTGGTTAATATATTTTAATCGGTTAAATTATTATTTGATTAACAATTAATCATAAACATCTCTATAACAAACCAACTGAAGGTAGTTTGTTGTTAGAGCCTTTTTTTTTTTTTTTTTTAAAGCAGGATGTCTCAATGATTTGCTTTCCTACATTTAAGTAATTTCTAAGAAAAAAAACCTAAATTCTCTGCCTGAAGCTTCTTAAATGTGGGTATATTCTGAATAGGTTTGGGCTGTGGAGACGACAAGACATCAACATTTTTCACCATTTTATGACATTTTAAAGACCAAACTAATCAACTAATCCTGAAAACAATCCCCAGATTACTTAACAACGAAAGTAATCTTTATTAGTATCTTCCCAACTTTAGTTCTAATTCGACTGATTATTTTCCAGAACACACGGTTCTGTTGAACCGTTTTGAAACCAATAATTCAAGCGTTCCGCTGCATTTCTTGGTTTTACTTATTTTCATTTCTTACAGGAAAAATTCGATATCTGAAGAAGTAGCTCCTAACACCGGTTAATTCTATAAACATAAATTGATCATAAAGACGTTTCTGATGCATCTTTAACCTTCTATAGCACCTATTAGCATCTTTTAGCATCTATAACCATCTATTAGCATCTGTTAGCATCTGTAACCATCCATTAGCATCTATAACATCTATTAGCATCTATAGCATCTATTAGCATTTATAACCGTCTTTTAGCATCTGTTAGCATCTATAACTATCTATAACCGTCTATAAGACCTGCTTCAGTTGAACAAACTAAGATTTGACCACAATTCTTTCCCAACTGTCAAAATAAGTCATTTGTCATTTTGGGAAACGCTGATTGATTTTCTGACATTTTAAGCACCAAACTAATTAACAGAGAGACTAATTGATCAAAGAAAAGAGTTTAAAGAAGCGCGTACGGATGCAAACTGCTGATTTGCATCGTCAGAAAACTTTAAAATTCACTTTGGCTCTAAAACTAAGGTCGATTGTGAATTTTTTAGATTTATTCATTGGAAATATGTTGATGTGTTTGGTCTCCCGTCGGCGGCGGCGTGTGTTTTTCCTCGCTGCCCTTGGAGCTGGTTACCGGCGGCGCAGAACTGGTTCGCTATCAGAACAATTTAATCAAAACATTGGCTGACACTGCATCTCCTGCCGACTGCAGCCATGCATACTTGTTAGGCATTAATAGACACTCGAGTGTTTCCCTGTTGAACTGCAGGTCTGCTTCAGCACACTGGGTCACGGGAAGGTAAAGGACGACGGGAGGCAGGAGGCGGGAGGCGTGACTCGACTGCTGAGCCACGCTCTGATTACAGATTCCCGGCGTGTTCGCTGCAGCCTGTTGATTTTGTGTTTTTGGGGAGAATTTTAAATCAACTCATCGCCTCACGGAGTCGCTCGGTGTCGGCGTTTGGCTCCAGCATTGGACTCGCTTCAACTCAGAGATACAATGATATTAGTCACAGCAAGTCATCACAGCGACACAAGTGATATTCAGAACAATGACACATCAACACTGTACGCTAACACCACACACACATCAGTCGTGTTGCAGTGTTATCAGGATTTCACAAAGTCATGCACAAGCACACCGACGGGAAGGAGATACTCATGTAGGTATCAAGTGGGCGTCCTCAAGATGTTCAGGATTTTAAAGCCACATTTGTGTTGTTCTACTTGGCTGAAGGGCAGTTTTGACCTTGTAGGACCTAAATTATCCTCACATGTACGACGGCGCAGCAGCGTGCGCTGAAATACGACCTGCTTCAGGTTACCAGGCTACCAGTTCTTAATGCTGCTGCTTCACATGGAGATAAGTGAGCCAGGAAACTCCAGCTCTCACTGTGAGACGGCTACAGCGACGTCAAACCAGCAGAAACGTGTCTAGAAAACAGCACTGTGGTCATCAGATCACTGCTTCAGCTGTAAACGGACAAACGAGCTCCTCTTTAGTCACATTAGTAGCTGCTGATGGACGAGATGTTTCCACGAGGAGTCGACTACTCATCAGTTTTGTTTGGTTGAGATCTTCCACTGGGTCGGAGAAGCGTTTTTTTTTCCTTTTTTTTGCTACGTACAACTTCTATCAACACCAGCTTGGTTAAAAACGTTTAAAGTTTCAGCTGTCCCAGATTGTCTCTGGCTCCCTGCAGGTAGAACTTCCACCAGAACTGCACAAACCAGCCGAGCCTGAACCCTTGAGGATTCTAGCTTCACTGTTTGACATTTTATCGTGTTTCTTGACGTTCCTTTGGCGTGAAAACAGCTACATTTAGAGGGAAACAGTCGGCGCCAGTCCAGCCTGCATCAGGTCAGATCTGAAGCTGCTGAACTCCTGAACAGACGTTCAGTGTCCTCAGGGTGGCTACTGCCCTGGCTGGAGGGGAAGCAGCGGCTTAGGAACAGAAATGAAGGCAGACGGGTTGTCATTGGGCATCGTGCTGAGGTAGAGACGTGTGAAGCGCTTTCTGTGGACTACAGCTGTAATGCTGCTGAAAGCTGGTCGAGCTCCTCTGAGGCTGAACATCTGTCTGCAGCCGTTATTCGAGCCTTGGAGGACCACGCGGTGCTCATCCAGCGGGCCTGATTCGGCCTCAGCGATCCTCTCAAAGCCAATTAAAACATCTCCGCTCAGGTTATTGTTTCGGCGGACTGGCACCTCATTAAAATATGTTTTCAGCTGCGTCAAACTGGCAGCTCGCCTGAATAAATAACTGTCTGGATTAAACCTCAGCCGGTCGTTAAAGACAGACCAGTGATGTAAGTGGAGAGGAAGAAAACAACGGGCGTCTGAAAGCCTCCATTAATTTGGAAAACAAACAGCTCTTTTAATGAGCGCTCCCAGCGGGGGGCGTTTTAAATCACTTCGCCTCCTGCTACTCTGCAAATACTGCAACCGTCGAGTGGGTTGTGCTCGAGTGCGATAAGAACAGTTTCTGATTGTTTCTGGTTCATTTTGGATTCAAGTGGCCCTGTGAAACATTTAAACCCTTTAGCAGAAGAACTCTTAACAGGCTGCCTTTGATACCGACATCTCTTACTGTAAGATGAGTGGCAGCTGCGAGTGAAGGCGGATACGCCGCCGCCGGCCTCCCTGGAGACGCTGATAACGCCGCTGACTGTAAATGCAGAGCCGGGAGTCTGCTCGGTGGTCACCTTCCACATTAATGACGCTTATTTAACCGAGGCTCAGCGACAGAGAGCAGCTCAGAGTGCTCCTATCAGAGACGAGAGCAGTGTCGCCTACACCTCAAACCATCTGAAGCTGCACCACCTCGTAGTGATCCTGGTCCTGCTCCATCGATCAGTTGTGTGTAAAGTAGAAAACTAAGATCCTACATTGAAAATACAGGCCTCACAGTAGGAACAGAAGTCAGTCCACCTTCATATCTGCTGTTTTTTCAGTATTTCTTTTGTTCTGGTGCTCAGTTCTGAGCTCCACTGGCAGGACGATGCATCCACTCCAGCAGTCCTGGTCAGGGCTGCACCAAACATCTGGACTCATCTGACTAATTTAACTTTTTGTGGCCATTTTGTGTCTCTTTATGGTCATTTTAAAAAAAACCTTTTTATGATCCTGTTGCGTCTTTCTGTAGATTTTTTGTGTCTCGTTGTGGTCGTTTAGTTTTTCATTATATCCACAAACATTCATGGAGCTTCTAGAAACATCATCAACACCTTCTGCCCTCATGCAGCCCCACATCATGATGCTGCCACCTCCGTGCTTCACTGTCAGGACCATGATCCATGTGGTGGTCCTGGTCAGGTTCACACCAAACATCTGGACTCCATGTGAGCCCAACACATTGATCTCCATCTGACCAGAGGATGTTCTCCAGCATCCATCAGGCTTTTTCAAATAAATTAGCAAAGTTTCATCTGGAAGTTTTCTTCTGAGCAGCAACCAGGTTTTGTTCCTGCCCTCCTTCCATGGAGGCTGATGTAAGGAGGTGTCCTCGCCATAGTTTAAGTTGCCAAAGGAACTCTAAACTCAGCTGCCTTTGTCTGGTGTCCACAGCTCCATAGTGACAGTAGTTGACTGTCCGTGGAGTCATTGTAGGAGGACGACCACTGCAGCCCTGATCAGTGCTGCTGTGGCTCCTTCTGGACCTCCTGGTTCCTGCTCACACTGGGCTGCACTGGGTTCTAGCTGCTCACTGATCTTCTGGATCCTTTTCCATCTTTGTCCAGTCTCTCAGTCAGATGTTTCTCCTCCTCTGTTCAGGTCTTCTCCATGTGGAGCCATGATGCAGACATAGACAGACACAGTCCAGAGGTCCAGAAC